GACCCAGCAGAGAGAGGCAGGGTGGGCAGAGTCCCAGCAGGGAGCGCTCAGCCCGACTGGATGGCATCTGTGTTTTGTGTGACTACAGGCACCACTCTCGCCAGGGCAGATCAAAGTTCTGTGGGCTCTGAAGCCTTTTAAACTGGTGAGGTACCTCTTCAGAAACAGAATACAACATTACACACACAGATTGCAGCAACCCTCGCAATGGGAAGCGCCCCATCCTTCCCAGCCAACCTCCGCCCTCTCCGTGTGTCACAGTTGTGCACCATTGCATGGCCTGACCCAGCACCTTTTGCTCACACACCCCCGGGTCAGGTGCACTCTTCACACCAGGCCCATCCTACCACCTGGAGACTCACTTCTGACATCACCTCCTCCAGGAAGCCCGCCTTGATTTGTGCCCTGCTTTGGAGTGCGTGCCTTTTTATTTCCCATAACACCCTGTCCTCATCTCTGCGTTCTCATTCCCCTGTTGTTATGCCCATCTCCACCCCCTCCCCAGGCTCAAAACTCTGAGAGGAAGGGGACAGTGTCTGGCACCTGGGAGGCACTACACAAATGCTTGTTGAAAGGCTGTGCTAGTACGAGAAAGCTGAAAGAACACCCATTTAGAAGTCAGTCCCAAACATAAATCACCTACTAGGCGCAGGCACCTTTTTAGGCACTTAGCAGACAAAAATCCCTGCCCCCTGGCTTCCATTCCAGGCAGAGTCAGAGAGCAGCACTAGACAGCGTAAGCAGGTAGCGTGCACAGCACGACCTCGCATAGGAGGAAGGTGCCAAAGAGAGCTGTGGACGGGCCCAGGTACGGCGGGGTGGGGGTGGGGGGAAGGCTGGCAGCAGAAGGCTGAGCGTGAAGAACAGAAACAGCTCTGGGAACCTGGCAGAGGCAGAGGAAGTGGCAAATGCAAAGACCCTGAGTTAGGAATGAATTTGGTCTTTAAAATAATCTGCCAGCAGCAGTACTTTCGAGAAAGGATTAGGAGTCGGTAGGGATAAACAAAGCTTTTTAAGTGGCACCAAGAAGGCATTATGATAATCCCAAATCTTACAGTGAGAAGTACAATTCTCATGCCATCTTTCTAATTCTATTAAGCAGAAAAATCCCAGTTGGGTGCTAGAATGTCTAACTCCTCGCTCCTATCTCCCAACCTCCCTTTTGTACAGAGAGCAAGTCTCAGACTCATGGTCTTTGTAACTGTGTCTAGCTGCAACCTAACAACCATTTGGTTTTCACTGTATTTACTTTTACAGTTACCTTCTATTTATGTCAAGTGTAAAATTTCTTTTAAAAATGCATTTAAATTAAAAAGGTGAGCTAGGGCTGGGCGCAGTGGCTCACGCCTGTAACCCTAGCACTCTGGGAGGCCGAGGCGGGTGGATCGTTTGAGCTCAGGAGTTTGAGACCAGCCTGAGCAAGAGCAAGATCCCGTCTCTACCAAAAAAAAAATAGAAAGAAATTAATTGGACAGCTAAAAATATACAGAAAAAATTAGCTGGGCATGGTGGCGCGTGCCTGTAGTCCCAGCTACCCGGGAGGCTGAGGCAGGAGGATCGCTTGAGCCCAGGAGTTTGAGGTTGCTGTGAGCTAGGCTGATGCCACGGCACTCTAGCCCGGGCATCTCAAAAAAAAAAAAAAGGGGAGCTAGTTTTTTAAGACTATTAAGTAACTAACAGTATAAGTAGAGAAACCTGGTGAAAGTCATGAAGGTGCTACGTAGACAAGTGAACTTTGGGGAACGTTGCCCTAGAGTAAGGAGTTCAGGCACAATAACTTTCCCCTCATGCTTTGTGCTTTCTGGGTTTTGTCTGGTTAATTTGTTGCTGTTCCCTAATATAGATTATTTTTTAAAAATCCCAACCTTAATTGAGCTGGTAAGGGGAAAGAGATTTATTTCCATGTGGGTTAAGACAGACAGAAGGGCCCTTGAGGTTCGAGGTTCGTGGCTCAGGTACTAACTACGCGACACTGACAAATGAAGAGGGAGATGTGGCGGGAAGTGAAAACCATGGGCAGAAGATTCCAGCACAGGAGGTGGTGCCCCTTCCCTCCAAGCACTCAAATACAAGGCTGGAGATCCAATAAGAAAGATCATTCCATAATAGAGAAGACTGAGAAACAGGAAAAAAAAAAGATGTTTTTTATTATTTCAAAATATTAGAGGTACAAATGTTTTTGGTTACACAGATCGCTTTTGTTATGCTGAGTCAGGGTTGTAAGTGTGCCCACCACCCAGATAGCATTCACTGTACCTGTTAGGTAGGTTTTTGCCTATCCTGTCCTCCTCGCCAAATTTTTTTAATGTTTAACTTTTCTTTTTAAAAAAGTGATAAAATTTAAATGGTTAGGTAAAGTTAAAAATCTATTGTTGCAAAATTTAACTAATTTAATAGTAAAAGATTTTTGGATCTCTTGTCTCCAAGTCCAACACCCTTCCCGCCCTGACCCTTCATTTCTTACAGATCCCACACTTTCAGATTTCTCTTTAGCAAACACGATCCGAACTAATTTGTAAGTGATCAGCATTTCAAGTATATGGAGGCTCCGGCTGCGTGGCAGGAGGAGCCCTGGGGAGGCTCAGAGTCCCCCACAGAGGCCCACACCTGGGCTGAGCCCACGGCGGCCAGTCCTGCACAGGCCCTGCGTGGCCAGCCTGGGCTTGCTCCCTCCCCCAGCAGTCCTGGTCTCGCCTGGGGACTGCCGACGTGCCTGGAGCGCGGCTCTCCTTCCAGTGGCCGTGCACATCCTTGGCTTCATTCCCTTTTGATTCTGGTCAGTTCCCATCTTCCTTCGCCATAGAGTTTCAGAACCCAGGAATGAAACTGTAAGAGACCCCCAGCATAGAGATCAGGCTGCCCTGGCCAGCAGAACAGGAGGCCACCCTGTTCTCTGTGCCACCCTCGCTCTCCATTTTGAGGGACCTCTGGACCCAGCCAGGCCCAGCCTTTGGGTTCTTCCTCCTCCTTAGGCCATCCTTGAGCACACAGGTACCTTCTCAAGGCTGTGCCGATGTCCCACACTGATGAATGTCATCCCCAGCTGCTGGCCGATGCGGTAGAGCTCGCTCTCCACCTCCTCTGTCAGGGCACTGGTGGCTTCGTCAAGCACTGCGGGCAGAAGACGGCAGGAAGCGATCGAAGTCCTGCTCCCTGCAACCCTCTGCTTCTCCTCCAACCCACCCTCACCCCCAGGTGGGACCCGGGGGAGGCTGAAAGCTGCTCTGCTTCCAGGAGCCCACCTCGGGGAGAAGACGGGCCAAAGGAGCAGAGGGCCAGGCTCCCTCGTGAATATTCCTGTGAGCAGCCAGATGAAACCTCTCAGTTCCCTCAAGAAAAGCACCAGCCACCCCCTGGGACTGCTCAGTCTGGGGAATCTCACGTCCCCCAATAACGTCAGCCTTTGGAAACGTCCGTATCTCTCACCCTCTGCCAGGCACAGCTCACGGGCTGTGGTGTGGGTGTTGCCCACTCATGAGATGGCAGAGCCTGAGGGCCGTAAATCACACCCCTCTCAAGGCCGGCCCCCGGCCCCAGCTGCTGCCTGGCGGAAAGCTACGGGTCAGCAGTACCACATAGCCCGAGCTGCTCTGGGGATGCCAACCACTGCTCCTCATGGGCAGGGCCCTGCTGTCCTTTCCAGCAGGGGCAAAGAATGCCCAGCCATACACAGATGAGCCTGGGTGCATGCAAACATACACTACTACACCTGCAAGCACACGGGGCACCTGCACGTGCGTCAGTGGCGGGGGGAGGGGGGACCTCACCTGCGTACTTGGGCTGCAGGTAGAAGAGCCTGACAAAGGAGAGCCGTTGCATCTCCCCCGGGGACAGGACATCATACCTGAGGAAAGGGAGCGAGAGCTGACCACCGGAGGAAGGAGGATATAGCTTGGCTTTCGTCTAGAATGGGTCTGAGCTGGAAGAGGTTCTCTCTGCACAGAGATGGGCCCCAGGACAGACAGAAGCCTCTCCCCTTTCAACCACAGCCACAGTGCCCAGGTGAGGCAAAACTCTGCTCCCCAGGGCATAAAACTTGTGCCTGATGGACCAGCCAAATGCCGGGACTTTGGGGTCTGGAGCTGTCCCCCCCTTTGGCAGGACCCCTGCGACCCGCTGTCTTCATGGGGGACCTGGCTCTGGAGCACCTGAACCCCATCCTTACCAGTTCCAGTCGACCTGCTGATCCAGACCGTCTGTCCTTGCCACCAAGCTGGACTGTAACAGACCCGGAGGGCACAATGTTGGCGAAAGGGCCCATCCCTGCTTCCCACCATCCTGGGGAACCTCCCTCAGTCCCCACCACACACAGGCCTCTGGGACAAATACACACCCCAGTGGCAAACCAAGGTGGCGGGTCATGGGAATAATGTGCCCCAGACAGAGGAATATTCTATCGGCGACACTGCTCAGACGTGCTGGGGCATGGTGACAATAAAAAGCAGACTGACTTAGCTTTATTGTTTCAAAATTCCAAAAGAGAGCACACTCCCTTATTGCCCACACCTGGACAACAGCTCCCACTGTCAATTTATACGCCCACTCCCCAGCCCAGGCTCAGACTTCCAGTCCTGGGCTCAGAGGCAGCAGGGCCACCTGTGGCTGATGCTCCCAGGTGGGCTTGGGTCCTCGGGGTCCCTGACCCCACTTACCAGGCCCGCCAGTTCCAAGAACCTCATGATCCTCTCATCATCCGTAGAACCTGAGAAACAGAGAAGCCTTCAACAAGTCAGCTCTGGCTGCCAGAACACACAGGGCACAGCCGGGCAGGGGTGGGGACCCAGAACACTGGGCTAAGTGACAGGTCCCAGAGCTTGATAAAGGAAGATGAAGGAAGCGATCACTTCCCTGGCCCCATGGGTGTCCTTCCTCAAGGACACCCTCAAGGCGGGGAAGACAGAACGAGATGAGGTTGGGGTACAGAGCCCAAAACAGTAGACAGTCAAAGGAGGAGGGGGAGATCCCGCCTGAAACCTGCCGGGGCCTGTCCCAGAGAGGCAGCCCCGGTCAGGCAGAGCTGGGACAACCGAGATGGGAGGAGAGGACACGACCCAAAGAGGCCCAGCTCACCTGAGTCCGGGTAGATCTCCTTCAGGGGATATATCACCTGATGAAAGAAAAGCCACAGAGGCCTAGGAGGGCTGGCGCGAGACGGAGCTGCACGCAGCCTGCCTCCCTCAGACAGCGCGGGAGCCGCCAGAGAGGCCAGGCTCCTCTCCGCCCCGGGAGACAAGGAAATGCCTGGGTCCAGTGGGAGAGGCTCAGGCCCATGCCCAGCGGGGCAGGGTCACTGCGACCTTCAGAAGTGCGTGTGGGTACAGTCTGCAGCCTCCTGAGGGCAGGGGTGTCACAATCTAACCTCAGTGCTCAACAAACACGTGTGACGCAGCCTGCGGCCCCCACGCGGCCCTGCCTCCGGAGCTGCTCTGAGCAGCGGGGCTCCACCCACGGACCCTGAGTGAAATGGTCTCAGAGCCAGGGAGCTCCCAGGCACGGGCCGCTTTTCCACCCCCCCTTCAGCCCCGCAAATCCGCAGGGCCTGAGACTGTCACACTGCCAGAGGTCCCAGGTGTGAGCGGGTGGGGGTGAGGAGGGAGAAGCAGGGCCCCCTGCACCAGGCTGACCTGCTCCCGGAGGGTCCCGTCAGTGAAGAACGGCTTTTGTGGCAGGAACAGCACCCCGTGGGGCCCAAAGTCCGTGAGCATCTGCACCGAGCCTGCAGAAACCACAGAGATGTCCGCTTTGAGCTCCCAGAGAAGGTAACTACTTCTCTTCTCTCTGCCTCTCACCCTCTTTCCCCGACACATAAGGCTGGATTCTACCACCCAGCCCGGCCTCACCCCACCCCCGGGGCCCAGGCTGGGCCAGAGGCAGGGAGGCCCGGCTCTCACCCCCTGTGCTCGCCCACAGGCCGCCCAGGACCCGCAGCAAGGAGGTCTTGCCAGTGCCCGTGTTGCCCGTGATGAGCAGGCTCTGCCCCTCGGAGATCTTCAGGCTCAGATCCTTGATGAGGGGCTTGTCGGAGGAGGGGGTCGAGATGGAGACCCGCTCAAGGCGGAAAGCTGTGTCTGCGGGCTGTGCTGCCGGCCACCCCGGGGCCCTGGGTCGGGGAGGGAGGGGACGTGGGAAGGCAGCAGCGTCAGTACTGTCATGGGGGAGGTACTTCTCCTTGGAGGCATCATCTCTGGGTGGGGGGTTGTTATGGGCTGAATTGTGTCTCCCCAAATTCACACGTTCAAGTCCTAACTCCCGGTACCTCAGAACGTCACTGCATTTGGAGATGGGGTCTTTAAAGAGATGACGGTAAATGAGGCTGTTAAAATAGGATCCTAAGCCAATACGACTTATGCCCGTTTAAGAAGAGGGAGACCCCCAGGGCATCACAGAGAAAAGGCCACGTGAAGCCACAGTGAGAAGGCAGCTGTCTGCAAGCCAAGGGAGAGGCCTCAGAAGAAACCAACCCTGCTGAGAACTTGACCTTGGACTTCTAGCCTCCAGAACTGTGAGAAAATAAATTCCTGTTCTTTAAGCCACCGGCCTATGGTATCTTGTCCTGGCAGCCTGAGCACATTAACATGGGGTGGGGATGGGGCATCTACTCTGTACCCAGCCCCATACGTGACTGATCTTAATTAGTCTTAATGCCAACGAAGCGAAAGACCATCCTCACTTGGCAGAAGACGAAACCAAGAGTCAGGGGGCTAAGTAACTGCCCTGGTCACAGAGCTGCATGTGCCCAATTCTAACGCTGGTGGGTTTCCATGGCACCATAGCATGAATCAGGCACTACTAATAAAAATGGGGGTGGTTAGTAATAAACAGTGCGAGTTTCTGGCTCTCCACGGATGCCTGTCTCCCCCACAGCACAGCAACTCTGGCTTCCTACAGTCCCTGAACCCTCACCTCAGCCTCTGGGCTCACTGGCGCAGGGAGCCTAATTTTGCACAGGGGCAACAACGGTTAAGACATCAGTTCCCAAGAAGAGAGAGCTGAGCATAGGCCCTGGATTCAGACTGATTCCGCTCTGAAAGCTTCCTACGCACCACTGTCCAAGCACTTTCCCTGGACCGTGGTTTATCTAATTCTCGTAACCCTAAGAGGAAGGTCCCATTAATACCTCCCTTCTAGAGATGAAGAAACTGAGACATACAACAGTTAAGTAAGTAATCTGCCCAAGAAAAGTGAGATGAGACAAATCCCGAACGCACAGGAAGGCCAGAAACATTACAGAGCCACAAAGTTAGCTGAACAAAGACATGTCTGGCTCTGAGCGAGGCACAGGGAACAGAGGATAGGTAGACACGCCCCGAAGAAAGGGGAGGCGGCAAGGCTCGGTGTGAGGAGGAAGGGAAGGAAGAGGAGAGACACCGTTCGGATTTTGGTTTTGTTATCTGGGCCCAGGCAGGTGTGCACTTCGCTTCCATCGGTGGGGGGATGATGTAAATGCCGCAACAGCAGTGACTGTGAACACTCATAATGTGCCTGGCACGTGGGGGGCGCTGGGGATGGATGTCTTCCCTTTACTCCTCCCAACTCTGCCACCCCGCTGGGAAGGGGCAGGGCGATTCCAGAGCCCGAATCCCGGCCACTCCACCCTCAGCCCCTGCTCTCCCCTGCCAGCCCACTACTCACTTGTCCAAGCACCACTCGCTCTCGCCCAGGGTCTCACAGTCCTGTGACTTCAAGGACATGTCCAGCAGGGTCTCCTGAAGCTCCCCAATCCTGGGCAAGAAGTGAAAATCTGAGGCAAGGTCTGGGGGACCGAGGTAAAGGCAAAACTCCTTTTTCTATCTCACGCCCACGAGTATGTGGTGAGATCCCCCCGCGGTTAATTCATTCAGCCACTTCTTCCAGCAGCACACACCTAGCTCAGGAGCCAGAGAGGCACGACACAGCCTCACCTGTGCGTGTACCCAGCCACGTCTGAGAGCGTGGTGGAGAGGTCGATGAGCCGGCTGAAGCAGCTGATGAGGTAGATGCTCACGAAGGCATTCTGCAGGGGACGGACAGCGGTCACACGGGCCTCGGCTCCGGGGCCCCAGGAGCTGGGCCAGAGCACGGAGGGGACCATATGAGGGCTCACTAGGAGGGATTCTCACCTTGCTGACCAGGGTGCTAAGCTCTGTGGGACTCAGGTCTCCATAGACCCCACTGAAAATGGGGATGGCAATGACAATGTAACTCAGGATACTGCCCAGATAGTCAAAGGTGTTGACACCGACTGTAGGAGACAGACTGCGTAAGAGACCCAGGAGCCGTTCATGTGCTCTGCAGGGGACGCCACCCCCAGGGTGGAGAGCGGGAAGCCAAGCAGGGCCATGCTCTCCCTGGATCCTTGTTCTCCTGGGGACACTCGAGACAGAGGCCACAGCTCCCTTGCTTGATTCCTTCATCAGACCACATTCATCAGGGCGGGCACAGAGCAGAGACGTGTGGGAAGGGAAGTGAACCATTCCAACCCCACGGCTCCCCGCTCCTGGGCCCCCTGCCTACTGTACAGCCAGAGCTCCTTGGACATCAGCTCCCTCTGCGTCTGAAGGAGTCTCTGCAGCCTGCGGTCTGTCCTCATGTGCTCCACGTGCCCAGCTCTGACGAGAAAGGCCGGGATGTCCACAGGGCTGGACCCCACCCTTCATCACACTCTCCTTTAGGGACCAAGCCCACCCACATGATCTGGGCCTCAGACCCTGTCTGCCACTAGCAGCCACGCCTTGCTTTAGTCACTCCTTCTGGTGTTGTCCGTGAAAAGAACATGAACTCTAGATTTGGACAGGCCTGGTTCAAATTCCGGCTCTGGCCAGGTATTAGCGAGGTGACACAGGCAGCTTCCTTAAGCCTCTGAGCCTCAGTTTTTTCGTCTGTAAAATGGAACTAATAATACCTATGTAATCGATAAGAGAATTAAGAATTTCCGAATATAAAATGCCAGGCACATAAGGGGCCCTTGTAAATAGCTGCTATTATCAAACAAATATACATGGAGCAGCCCCCATGTGCCAGGCTCTGCACTAATCAGCTAGTGCAATAAAGAGGCGGATAAAATAATCCTTGTCCCTGAGGAGCTCCCAGGGCAGAGGGCAGGCAGGCACACCGCATCCTTCACCTGGAATATGGAGTGTTAAATGCATCCTCAGGGCTATGGCAACAAGTGGCCTTGACCACTAACAAGGTCTGGAAGGCTCCCAGAGGAGGTGACCTGGAGTTTCAAGGATAGGCAGAAATTCTCCAGGCAGAAATGGTGGCAAGAGAAGCAAGGGGACATTTCAGATTCTGCACAGAGAGGCCACAGAAAAACCCATCTGGAGCTCTAATAACCAATCTGCCGTCCCCAGAGCGCAGACCTCCGTGAGGCCAGGCGGCAGAATCCAAAAGCAACTTTGTTGCCACACGCCCGCCCCACCCGCCCCACAACCCAGGCCCAGAGCAGCTTCCTTGTGTTCTTGCTGCCCCCGAGTGGCGGAGGCTGCAAACTGCAGCAGAGGCCGGCAGAGAGCACAGGTCCCGGGGCTATTAGATCCACCCCAAGCACAGGTAATCCAAGGAGCAACTTCGGTTTCTTAAACAGGACTCTCTGGGGCCTGCGCTATCAATCCAATCACACAAAGCAGAGCGCAGGGACCTGTCCTGGCCCCAGAGGGAAGGGATGGGATTTCACAACGCTGCAGTCAGGAGACCAGACACCTGACGCTGACAGCGTTTGTGGGAAGCAGGTCTCCTGATCTGAGAGGCTGCCACTCCCTTTCAGGCTATAGACACAGGATCAGCCTCGGACGTCAGACACTGGCAAGAAAGCTATTTTACAGATAGAAAAACAGAGGCAGAGGCGAGGCCTTGTAGTCGCCCGCAAGACGGTGAAGCATTCGCTCATTTTATTCCCTGACAGTTCCAGGCCCCAGGCTAGGCCACTAAGACCAAAGCGGTGAGGAACCACCTGGACCTGAGGATGACACAGACAAGGACAGTGGGAGGTACAGGCAGAGGGTCACAACCAAGTGAGACAACACGGCCCCTGAGCTTGGTGGTGGTGGAAGGGTTATAAATTCATCTTTCCTCTTCCTCTCTCAGCTCTGGCAGGGCAGAGCGGAACTGCCTCCTCCAGACTCACCTGTAGAAAGCAGCAGGCTCAGCATTCACCCGAATCTGCATGTGCTTGAACCTGGGCAGGCCAAAGGGAAACGTGTGCTGACCACAGGGAGTACTGGCCCCTTTTGGTCAGAGCCCTGGGAGGCCCAGCTCCATCTCAAACCATGGCTGCCTCTCCACCCTTCCCTGGACTGTCACACAGGTGGGAAACCCCAGGGCCTGGCGGGGGCCGGCAGGAGCTCTGCGGAGACAGGGCAGAGATCAGGTGCATTCCTGCCCACACACCTCCTCCTCCCAGCGCCCGGCCTGAAGGAGGGGGCCGGGAAGCTTGGAGTAGGGGCTGCATCTTTCTGCTGCCAGGCCCAAGTGACCGGAGACGGGGTGGTTAGACCAGAGCATGTGAGAAGGCCGAGGGATGACAATGACCAACCAGACACTGTCCGCAGCTCTTCTCAAGGGTGATCTCGTTAATCCTCATAATTCTCTCGGTAGGCAACAGTACCATCCCCACTTTACAGATGAGAAAACTGAAGCTTAGAGAAGTTAAAGTCCTCACCCAATATCCCATAGCTGGTAACTGGCACAGCCGGGATATGAACTTAGGCAGTCTTACTGTAGATCCCATTCTTAACCATACTGCCCAGCCCAGAAGCCTTAAGCAAGGCAGACACACCTAAAATCCCCCTCCAGCTTCTCCTGCTGCACCAGCTTCGCCACAATGGGCCCCATCAAGGTTTTGTTGACCACGGTTCCCAGGAGGAAATACCCGAAGATGCTCACGGGCCCGAGCCAGCCAGTGCTGAAAGCAGAGAGGCAGGGAGAGGGTGCAGGGGTCACCATCCCCACAGGCCTCCAACCCCCACTCGGGTAGGCCCTGACCAGCCTGGCAGCCCCATGGGCCCTCTGCTCCTGCGAGGGGGCATCTGATACCTGGTGTGAGCTGTCAGAGTGCCAGCATCCCTGTGACACTGCAGCACACAGGGCTGAGCAGAGGGCAGGAGCCTGAGCAGGCGAGATAGGGAGACTCCCCACGGTGAGGGGACAGAAGCCAAGCCTCTCCTGGACCTGGCCTGGGAGAGCTGACTGAGGGACCTCTGGGGACACACCAGGCCGGGGAGGCAGAGGGGCCCTGGGAAGCGGAGACCTCACCTCTGGAAGCACTGGTAAGTGTAGTAGACGAGGGTGAAGGGGGAGATGATCAGCTTGCTGGCCATGCTGCTGAGCTGCTGGCAGAATCGCTCCACATCCTGGCTGATGCGTTGGTCCCTGGAGCCAATGACACAGAGTAGCTGCGCTCGAAGGGTGGAGAGCGCCAAGGCAGCTCCACCTGACTCTTTCTCCCGACCTTGCCTCTCAGTGCTGCCAGCAGCGGCCCCGTGGGAAGATGGACCCAGACAAGCTGGTTTCCTACAGGCACCTAAACCCTGAGGGCCCTTAAGCAAGGTTCTAGAGAGTTGCACCTTAGGGTGCCTCAGGTCACCCCTCAGAAAAAGTGCGAACTGAGAGGTCCAGCACCCAGGGGCCTAAGGCAGCTCTGGGCAGAGCCAGAGAAAAACTTGAGTGTAGCTGAGCTGCTTTCTGGGATGATCAGGAAAACTGGCCCCTTTATCTTAATCCTCCCCAACTCCTCCTACACGAGCCTGGCCCCATGTTAGCGACCTGGCTGTGAAAGCGTCACATGGGCTGAGCCACCAGGAAGAGTTCTACAAGTTAAGCAGCAGCAGCAGCAGCAGCCTACCAAGAATCGTTGCTGTGAAGCTCAGCTTGAGCTAGGAAGGGTCGCCTAGGCAGCAAAGTACCAGCTGGGAGGGTGGTGGGTAGGGAGGGGATGAGTGTGAAGGAAAGACCCCAGATGTCCCATCTCACCACCAGGGCCACACTGAGTCCTAGTCCCAATGAGACATGACCTTGGGCAAGTCACCTGCAATCTCTGGGCCTGTTTCCTCACCTGTAAAACAATAGCTAACTTACATTGGAACACTTGCTATGTGTCAGGCACTGTACACGTGCACGGCGTGGATGATATCATTTCATCCTCACTACATCCTTTGAGACAGGAACTATTATCATCTTCATTTTATAGAAGCAGAATCTGGGGCTTAGTGAATTTAAGAGCTATAAGCTGGGAGAGGATAGAGGGGGGACTTAAACCCTAGACTAAGTCCCATATAGCACTAATTTTTTTACTGCTGAAAATCTAAGAGCTGGTTTTCTAGCAAGGACACTAGAAGGTACCTTATTTGGAAGCCCAAGATATGAAACGTGAAATGGACCAAAGCCTCTTTTTTTTAAGAGATGAGGTCTTGCTCTGTTGCCCAGGCTGGAACACAGTGGCTATTCGCAGATGTGATCATATTGCATTACTCCTGGGCTCATGAAATCCTCTTGCCTCAGCACCCTGAGGTGCTGGGACTACAGGTGCGCGCCACTGCGCCTAGCAGGCCTCTTCTTTTTAGCTCCCTATTCTCAGCCCCGCAGCCTGTCCAGGTGTCCTCCGCAGAGCACCCTCCCCGCAGCTCCCGGCAGCAACATCTGCAAATGACCATTAGACGATCTCCACGGAATCTGCTGCCAGGACTCTCCAAGGCTAAGTCAGATGCAAAGGACCACGCAGAGGGCAGAGAGGACTAAGAGGGAGCGCCTACGGGTTATCGATGTCATCCTGCAGCACGTTGAGGGTGTAGTACACGCGGCCCCGGAAGTAGAGGCGGTGGAGGTGCTCGGTGAGGTCCTTCCTCCAGCTCACATAGAGCAGGTTGCAGGTGAACTGGTCAAAGCTCTTCAGCTGTGCAGAGGGGAGGCAAGGGAAAGGGTGGGGAGAGATGGCTTCCTGAAAGTCTTGGCTCACAGCCCAGCGCTGGCCGACCAGCTCAAAGCTCTGCTGACCAGCCCAGCTCACGCTGACTCTGATCACTCTCTGTCCACTTAGCACTTCCAGTTTTTTAAAAATGATGTCCCTTGAGTCCTCTCAGCACTTTTCTTGTTTAAAGTGTCAACTCATGGGACTTTTCCCTTTTCCTTCCTCATTCACTCATGTATTCATTCCTTCGCCAAATATTAGAGGGTGTACCAAGGCAAGCCCCTCAAGCCGCTTTCTACATTTCTACATGAGCTTCTGGAGATTGAGACCATGCTGTCTATTCCCTTTGTTCTTACTCCTCTGTCCCCTAAGCTTGGAACCGGGTTCTAACATATAGGTGTTTACTGACTGAAGATCCAACAAAAGTGGCCACAGTATGACAGGAAGTGGCTTCCCCTAGAAAACAGGCAGCACAGCCTGACAGTGTCAGGCTTGAGTTCTGGCAAAGCCCTGAATCTCATCATTTACCATTTCCCCAGCACCTAGGTGCTAAGCACTATAGAAACAATGAGCTCTCACACAGCCTAGCCAGGAAACAATTATAAGGGTGTGAGGAGTGTCACAGCAGAGGTAAACTAAGGAATTAGTAAGTACAGAGGAAGGGCAGAGTTTGGTGGAGGAAACATGAAGGAGAGACCTGAGGAGGACCTGAAAGAGGGGACTATGGAGATAGCTTGAAAAATGAGCAGTCTTTGGCATATTGAACAAGGGATGGAGGAAGGCTATTCTGCAAAAAGGCAGCAGATGCAAAGGCTGGGAGGTATGTCATGGTGCCAGGCAGAGTTACAGACTCAGCTCACCCCAGAGGGTGAACAGCAGTTCTGGCTGCTGATCCCAGTTTTTATTTGTTTTTTTTTTTAAGAGATGGGATCTTGCTATGTTGCCCAGGCTGGACTCGAACTCCTGGGCTCAAAAGATTCTCCCGTCTCAGCCTCCTGAGTAGCTGGGACTACAGGCTTGCATCACCACACCTGGCTTTGAATCCAGTTTCAAAGTGTTCTGAGCTTTATGAAGTAAGAGTTCTGGGAATGGAAGGGACAGTGATCATTGCCAATAAATGCTGAATTAAGCCAAAACCCCACAGCCTAGCCCTGGGAGCTTGGAACGTCCGAGGAACAGGTTCCAAGTGGGCCACTAGCAAGATCAGTGCCCTGCCTAGCGTCCTGACTTTCATGGCAACCATCACTTTAGTTCCCAGAAAAGGGAGAAAACACACATTCACAGCTTGGTTCTTGCTTCCTGGAGGCTAAGACCCACCAGGCATTCCACTCATACTAGACTGGAGGAGAGACACACAGAGAGAGGGGAAGACCTTACCGTGGAGTTGAGAACGATGAGCATGACAGCCAGGAATGTCAGGGTCTTAAACCCATCCAAGTCTTTGTTTCCCAGGACCCCATAGTACTGACTGGGGATCAAGCCAACCTGGTAGATCACCAGTTGTTCTGGGAGGGGGGAGAGGAGTAAGAAATCAGTGATGAGGGGTAAAAAGAAGGAGGGAGTCCCTGCCTCGTCAACACCCCAGAGAGAAGGAAAGGGGCCCAAAACTAGGGCTTCCCTCCCCCTGACAACCTAGGTTTGCTCACTCACCCAGTAGGGTCACACATAAAAGGGTCAGGAACATCAAGGCATTCTGTGATGACCAAGAGGGAAACAAAACCTTCTGTATCTGCAGGAACCGCTGGAGAAATTGCAGATCTAACCTAGGCCTAAAGAAGAATTGGAGAAGCAGAGAGAAGTCCAAGAGGGTAGGTAAGCCTTGGAGAGCAGTTATCAAGCTTATCCGCATTGTTCTGTAGAGGGTGTAGGCCGTGCAGAAAGAATGGTTTACAAGTGCTGAAGATGCTGGGCTAGGAATAGACTAGGGATAGAAAGGAAATTCTTTAAATTGATAAACTGGTTATTTGCCAAAAACCTATATCAAAAAACATGGTTAATGAATAAACTTTGCCACATCCTCTTTACGGTCACAAACAAGAGCAGAATGCCATCATATCAAGGATTTTAAGGTCCAGGCTAAAGTAATAAAGCAAGAAAAAGGAATGAGGTAAAATAATTGAAAAAGAAGAGACCAAACTGTCATTATTTGCAGATGATGTGATCATTTACACAGGAAACACAAGCAACTCAATAGGCAAAATCCAGTGGCTGGTTAGCTCAGTTGGTTAGAACGTGGTGCTGTTAGGGTGGACAGCCTAGTGGGTGCTCATGGCGCAGGTGGAGAAAGATTTCTCACACAGAGATTAAGATATATAAAAAAATTTATTTTATCCTTTTAAAGGAAGTGGGGGGAAAGAGAGGGAAAGGGGTGGGGGAAGAGAACAAGGAGATGGCCTGGCATCCCAAAGAAAGAGAAGGGAGATGCCAGCCCTGAGGCCAAATGGCTTGCTGATTTTAAGGGGGAGGAAGAGAAAAAAATAGTGACAGCTTTCAGTTCATAACAAAAGCAGCAGCAAGATGCTTGGTTTCCTGCCTTTCCTTGAAGAAGGGATTATTACAGGAGATGTGACTTTGCCTTTGAGATATGGTTGAGGCCTGGATCTCGTTCTCCTGCTGTTTACTCAGGAACTCTGTAAAAGCAGATTCTCAAAAAACAAGTTTGAAAGAGAGAGATTTATATCTCTTTTCTGTCCATTCAGCTCTTTTCAGAAGTCGTGCAAAACAGAACTCTTGCAGGGTGCCTGACAGTGAGAGAACTCAAAGGATTGATCTTTAACTGTTCCTGGGGAAATTGTGAGATGAGGTATTTTCCTGTTATTTTTGCAAGGCTGCCCCTTTCTCTAATAATAGACAAGCTGTTGGAAATAAACAGAGTTCAGCAATGTCACTAGATATAAGATTAACATACAAATATTAATAGTATTCATCTATACCAGCAATAATCAACCAGAATATATAAAGAAAATAAGATGTCATTTACAAAAGTAAGAAATATATAGAAAAATAATAAAATATCCAGGAATTAACTTTAAAAAAAGAGTTGGCACAGTGGCTCACACCTGTAATCCTAGCACTCTGGGAGGCCTAGGTGGGAGGATCGCTTGAGGGCAGGAGTTCCAGACCAGCCTGAGCAAGAGTGAGATCCCGTCTCTACTAAAAACAGAAAAACTTAGCTGGGCATGGTGGCGCACGCCTTCAGAAGCTGAGGCAGGAGGACTGCTTGAGCCCAGGAGTTTGAGGTTTGCTGTGAGCTAGGCTAACGCCACAGCACTCTAACCTGGGCAACAGAGCAAGACTCTGTCTCAAAAAAATAAAAATAAATATAACTTTAAAAAAGAATGTATAAGACATTTTGGAAGAAAAATGGAAAGCTCTGTTATAGGATGTGAAAGAAGACCTCAACAGAGCTGGCAGGACTCACCATTATAAAGACCTCATTTGTAACAAAAGTAGTCTATAAATTCAATGTAACAACACCTAAAAGCAGGACTTCTCTGAGGAACTTAATAGCTCAGGGCAATTGTGAAGAATAGGAGAAGAGGGAGAGACCCAAACCATCAGGTTATTAAGATAGATCATATTACAGGGCTAGAATATTAACATAATATTAACATAAGAACAAAAGAACCAATGGAACAGAAAAACAAAACACCTATGTGTACATAGGCACAAAATAGAGGTTATGTCACAAGAAAGGACATATTAATACTAATAATTGCCAACACTTACTAAGCATATATTATGTCCTAGTATGATTCTAAGAGTTTTGCATGTATTAATTCATTTAACTGTCACAACCCTAAGAAATGGAGACAAATTCTCCAATTTGGGGAGGCAAAAAGAGATTAAGTATATTGTCCTGTCATCCACTTGGTAAGTGGAAGCCTTAGGGCTTAAACACAGGCAGCCTGGCTCCAAGAATTTGTGCTCTTAACTGTGCTATACAGCTTTTCTAGTTTTAATTAATTAGTTATTCATTGAAAATAGTGTAAAAAAATTAGGTCATTAACTCCAACCATTTACAATAAACTTAAAAAACTACAACTTGATTAAAAATCTAAATGTGAAAAGTAACTCTATTAAGATAATAGAAGGAAAGAAATGGAAAAAAAAATCTTCCCCAAGATACCTTAAAAAACTATGAAGGGGAAAACTGATGAATTTAATTAAATATTTTTATTCACCACAGTGCCATAGATTAAAAGACTTGGAGGAGGTATTTGCAGAGTGTAAGACCAACAAGAAATTAAGATCTAGAGCATAAAAGTATTCCTGCAAGCCAGGAAGACAGGAAATCCACAGAAAAGTGGAAAAGGATATAAACAGGCAATTCACAAAGGGGGAAAGTCACATGCCTAACAAATACATGAAAATGAACACAATGGGAGACTACCTTACACCTACCAGACTGATAACCATTACAAAACCAAACATTACCAAACCTTGGGGGAATTTTGGGAAACAGGAATCTTTATGCACCGCTGTTGGAAAGTATAAACTGGTGTGACCATTCCAAAGAACTGTCTAGCAAAATTAGATATGACCTAGAACCCTGGGGTAGATAACTTGGAGAAAAGCACCAATATCCACAAGGAGACAACTGTCAGAATATTCATTGCAATATGGCTTGTGGTGGTTAAAATATTAATATCAGACACAATCTAGGTATCCATCCCTAGGGGAATAAATAAGTAAGACGGGGTCTATGCACATGGGGAAGCATCACGCAGCACTGGGAAGTGGAAACGAGATTACTACATAGCATGGATGATCTCAAAAACACAATGTTGAGAAAAATAGTTTTTTTTAAAAAAAATCACAGCATATTATTATATATAGGAGTTCAAAACCACTCCATTTTTCAAGGTAACATACACAAAATTATGCAAGGTGTAAAGATGCTTATTTAATACAACAGAGTAGGTGTCTGAGAAGGGTAATGAAACGGGATTGAAAAGAGGAACGAAGTGAGGAAGACAAAATAAAAACGGGGCTTTGCATTGGTCCGCAGGGGACCGAGAACCGAGAAGGATCATCAACTCAATTCTGTGCACGGGAGCTTCTAAAAAAAAAAAGCCAGTTGAGAGGAAGACGGTCCCACACCCAAGGGGCAGGGGATGGCACAAGTCCCCACGAAGACTGGACGGGGCAGCAGCCGGAGCAGAGCGGCCTCGGACCTGAGGGGAGGGTGGACGCCCCTTCGGGGCTCCTCTTTCGCTCAGACGCCGCCGGAGCGGAGAGGGGGCTCAAGGGCGGCAGATCAGGCGCGGAGGGCAGGAGAGCCCCCTCCTTCTCCCACAGCCCTGAGCTCCTGCTGCCGGCCCTCGCCCCACACCCCGGCCCTCCTCCTCAGCCGCCCTGCTCACCTGGCGCCAGCTCCGGGCGCAGGCCCCCGGACCACCATGACCAGGGATCCGACCGACGCTGGAGCCTGGCGGCCCCGAGGTCAGCGGCGGGCAGAGTCCAAGCAGCGCGCGGCCGGCCCAGGAGGGGCGGGGCCCTGGCGACCACAGAGACGACGGCGGCTAGAGAGGAAGGCGCTGGGCGACGCGGCCGCTCCCGGAAGCGACCGACTTCTCTAAAAGTACCAAAGAGTGCCGAGCGTTCATTTGGCTGACGCGGCGGCTAGAGCGCCCCCGTCTGGATCTGGGAGGTTCCCCCTTGACAAGAGGTAGTCCAGGATGTAACTATTTTATGACAAGCATTGTAGATTCTCAATATAGTGGATGTTTCATACATTCTCCCAGAGAGGCCAGCATGATCTTTTAAAAATATATATTAGGCTTCCGATCGCAGTTAAAATAAAATGGAAACGTTTCCACGGCCTACGTGATCGGCCCCTCCCCCTGGTCTTTGTGTTGTTTGCGCAGCCACAGAGTTTCAGCCTCACGGTCTTTGCAGTTGCAGTTGTGTCCGCTTGGATCACTCTTCCCCCTATCCTAGAACTTTCCATGGCTGGCTCTTTCTCAAAATTATCTGAAATGTCACCTGCTCACCCTACTTAGTATATGCCGTCCTGCCCCATCGTTCCCTATTGCATTACACTTTTGTATTCTTCATGATATTTATCACTGTATGAAATCATTTCCTTACGTATTGTTTATCTTCCCCTTCGTCAGAGTAAACATCATTAGACAGGTACCCTGCATTACTCATTGCTATATTCCCAGTACCAAGAACACTGCTAGTGCACAGTAAGTGCTTAATAAATATTTTTAAATGTTGAATGAATGAAATGCTTATCAACTGATTACAGTGCCCAAAAACAGGTGGGAAACGGCTCAAGAAAACAAGCAGCCTGATCTCACAGAGCCCTAAATTTGAATCTGGATGGACCTTCCCATCTTCCTTCAATCCTATTGTCAACTATATGCCACTCAATAACATACATGTATCACCTGTTTTCATGGAGCTTGCAGTCTAACAGGGAAGGTCAACCGGTTAAAAATTATAGTTGTCTTTATGAAGTGCTATAAAGATACTCTAGAGCAGGGTTTCTCAACTTTGGCACCATTTAGTTTTGGGGCCTGATAATTCTTTGTTGGGGAGGCTTTCCTATGCATTGTAGATATTGAGCTGTATTCCAATTCAACGCAAAAGAAGACAAACTCTGTAAAATAATTTAAGGAGGTTTATTCTGAGCCAAATTTGAGGACCAGGGCCCAGAGCCACACCCAAGAAGACTTGAGCAAGTGGACTTGCTGTGGTTGGGTTACAGTTTGATTTTTATACATTTCAGGGAGACAGGAATTACTTTGCAACAAGTTATAAATATTGTTAACTATATTCCTGCAAATGCAACATGGCATCTTCAGTTTTGTAACATGCTAAACTTGAATGATGAGGTATTCAGTGTGGATTTGCCTTATTATTCTAAAGTGTGTTGGCTATTGCAGGGACAGGTGTTAGCCAAAATTTTATCTCTGCCAGAACAGACAGTTAAATTTTATGCAGAACAGAATCAGCAATGTGAATTATTGAAAGAAGATTTCTATAGGAATGCAGCATTTCTGTGTGATATCATGTCAAATCAAAACAACTTGAATATGTCTTTGCAAGGTAAAACTAAGTCTATATATGATATGTGGCAAAAAATCCAAGCATTTCAAAAAAAGCTGTCTTTTCTCAAAATACTTCTTCTTCTTCAAAAGGAAATTTTAAATGAACATTTTCCCCAGTTAGCAAAGGTCATAGATGAGCAGGATGATATATGTGAATCATCTGAAGAATTCACAGCTGTTATAGACCTATTAATTGGAGAATACAATGAAAGTTTCACTGACTTCGAGAATCGTGACATGACACTCAAATTAGCATTTCAGCTTCACCTAGTTGATATCACCAAGGCACCTAAAGAACTACAGATGGAAATGATTGAGTTCTCAGTAGATGACATTTTAAAGTCACTGTTTGATGCTAAGAAAGCATCCAATTGAAATATGGAAAAATGCAGTAGAAACCCATGCCCTTGGCAACATGCCCGAAAAATGCTTTCTTGCTTTTCAACCACTTATCGCTGTGAATCTACATTCTCCTACCTGACCCAAATCAAGACGCTCTTAAATTCACAAATGACTGATACCCTTCTTGAGGGTCAGCTGAAACTGCGGACCTCCGTGCTGCAACCAAATATTCGAATGCTTTCTAACAAAAAGCAGACACAACGAAGTCATTAAAAGGTTAGTTAATGTAAAAATTCACAAATAGTTTTCATTTTTTGAAATTATTAAGTTCATAGTAGTTAGATTTTTACAACATAATGTGCATTTTTTAAGTATATCTAATTGAAGTTTCTTGAATGTGGCCTTATTTGATTACAGCTAAATTAATGTGGCCTTCCAACATGAAAAGTTTCCTTTCCCCTGTTCCTAACTGGTTTCTCCACTTGAATTTCTTCCTGCTCTGATCTAGGTCCTACATAGCAGCCAGAAGAATCTGCAAAAGTGTAAACCAGATCAACACCCTACTTAAAACCCTTCAGGGACACAAAAGGCTCTTAGTGCCCTGGCCCTGCCTACTGCTCCAACCTCTTTAGGGGGCCAGGAAACAAACCTTGTTCCCCTCCACTCTTCTGTGAATTTCTACTCTACCTTCCATGCCTAGTGTAATGTCCCTTCCCTGCAAAGCCCTTTCCTGAACACTCTCTATTATTCCTTCCCATAGTGCCCATTTCCTCCCTTATAGCATTTATCACAGCTCATTGTTATATTTTCATTTTGTGCATTTACTTCATTAATGCCTCTCTCTCCACTTCATGAAGGCAGGGACTATGTCTGTTGTGTTCACAGTATCGTGTCCCCACTGTCCAGAAGCACTTAGTAAGATCATAAGAAATATCTGTTGAACACAGATAAACAAAACAATCCCTAACCCCAAAAACACCCAGGCCACCATTTCTGCTTATACTCTTTTCTATTAGTATTGAACTTCCCTGTTTCCAGCTACTAGACTCCTGTGCTACTTCCTCACTCTTATACATAGATCAAGGGAGAATGAATCAGTTAAAAAAAGAAAAGGAAAGGAATTTGGTAATAACTATGAGATTTTAGATGATATAGTAGTTTCACTTCCAGAATTTCTTTTATAGATATATTTGCCCAAGAGCACAAAGGACAAAGGGTTAATTGCAAGGATGTTTCTGCAGCATAGTAGGTCATAGCAAATCTGAGAAGGAACCAGAATGCTTATCAAAGGAGGAGTAGTTAAACAAAATATGACACCCTCGCTTTGCAGAATACATTTTGTAGCCATTAACAAGAATGAGAGGTAGCATCATCACCGTAGTTCAGAGCATGGACTTCAGAGCCAGATTGCATGCGTTCAAATTCTCACTCTACTACTAAATATCTGTGAGACCCTTGGCAAGTTGCTCCAGGTTTTGTTTTTTTTAAATCTATAAATGAAGGTAATAATCATTTGTACATCAGAGGGTTGTTGCAGGGAATAAATAAGTTAATAGATAGGAAGTACTTAAACATTACCTGGCAATAATAATATCTATTACATTATATATTAAACATGGAAAAACTACCCATGCTAAACATTGTTTTTTTTTTTAAATTAACTAGTTTTTTTAATTGAAACTTTGAAAGCACATGGTAAAAAAAAATTCACACAGGAGGATAGGGCATGCAATGGAAAATAAGTCTGTCTTCCACTTCAGAGGCAAGCTGTTCTCAGCTTTGTAGGACTCTTTCCAGAAATGTCTTATGTATATGCAAACTTATACGTGTTAATATATTTCACACCCCCCACCCCCTCACACACTCCTTTTCCTTTTAAACACTCTGTCTTGCAGCTTGCTTTTTACACTTTATAGTATATCTTGGAGGTTGTTCCACATCAGCAAATACAGACTTAAGGCATTTTTTTCCACTGTACAGATGCTCTTTAACTTACATGAGTTTACCTCCTGATAAACCCATTGTAAGTCAGAGACTGTATAGAGAATATATGTATCCAGTTTCCTATTGATAAACATTTTAGTGGATTAGAAACTGTCTGTATAGAGAAGATATGTATCCAGTTTCCTATTGATGAACATTTTAGTGGGTTATAGTCTGTCTGTTACATACAATACTACAATTAATATCCTTGGATATATCCAAAATGTGGTTAAATTTAAAAGAAGCCATGCTCCATATTTTGTTTTTAAAAAAACATGTTTGTTTTTTAAAAAGCCAGGTGTGGTGGCTCACACCTGTAATCCCAGCACTTTGGGAGGCCAAGGCAGGAGGATTGCTTGAGTTCAGGAGTTTGAGACCAGCCTGGGCAACATAGCAAGACCTCATCTTTATAAAAGATAAATAAATAAATAAAACAGAAAAGGATGTTTGTGTGTGCACCCACTGAAAATGATTGGAAATCCGCAGGAATTTGGAATGCAAGGAATGGAGAGAGTGAAAGACATTTTGAACTAAAAGAGGCTGCATGTTTAGGTGTTTTGTTTTTAAAAATGTTACCGACACAATAAAACATTCCCAGAGGTTGTTCCCTAATATAGCAGCAATAGTTTTCTCTTCTGGCCCTCCCAGCTCTTGGTTCATACCTCAGTTACAGAGAGAGTTGTGTCTGTCTCCCCTGCTAGCCTGGGAGCTTGTCTAGTCATCTTCATATCCAATACCCAGCCCAGCGCCTGGTGCGCAGAAGGTGTTCATTAAACACTTTCGGAATAAATGAAGCTACTCCTCTGACCCCAGTTTCCCTGTATATAAAATTAGGACGATAAAGCAACCCACAGCTTATGGCTATCCTGAGAAATTACTGAGCAATGCGAATGTTCTGCAAAAAGATGAAGCAGTGTGTAAAAATACTCAGGAGTAGCTGCTTCATCTGAAATTTATGCTGTGGGCTGACCAGGTCAAAATGCTCGCAGCGTAGCTGGTTCAAAGGCTGGTGGCAGCTTCCCCATGTGAGAGCAGCCTGTTAAATTTGTTTCCAGACAGAAGCAGGACGGAGCAGGAGGGATAAAGTTGTCAGTTGAGCGGAGCCCTGCTGTCAAGTCTTCCAGATCTGAAGCCATCTGGGTCTGTTTCCACCCCAGAAGTAAATCATTTTGGAAAGATTGTGCCCCC